CCAGCCTCTCAACACAACAGTAGTGACATAGATAAATTGACCAACATAAATAAAGTGACCAAACGAGTGAAATGACTGTAAAATAAAGAGCTGCGCTAAACCTGCACACGTACAATCTGCACTCGTACGACCTGCACATGTACGACCTGCACTCGTACGACCTGCACTCGTGTGACGCTGAGAAGCTAAAACATGAACTATCTCCTATACTCTATATGCACAGAACACACTTACCATCATCAGCACCTCTTCTGTCACAGAAATAACACACATAATCCACAGAGTCGTGTCATTTAGTCCAAAAGAAACTTGATCGCACATCAGCGGCACAAGGAGCGAGTTGTTTTTATCACCGCTAACAGTTTATGCTAATTAGCCAAACGGTCTTAAGTTTCGTTTCTGTAAAACGTAAACAAATGTGATCAGAGCTGAATTATCTGATCAAACGGGCTGATGTGTCTATAGTGTTTATGGTTTATATGTTGTAAAGTTGAGTTTATTTATGCAGAAGATTTTAATGAAGAATCTGCACAGTGGATTGTGGGAGATCTCGTAGCTCCTTAGCTTCTTATGCTAAAGGAGCTCACGGTTTGTATTTTTCCTGGTTTATGAAATTGATTTAAGTTCATTTTTGCGCCTGCGCATTTGTAAGATTATGTCAAGAAACCGGATACTCCATTTGATCATGTACACGCGGATATGAGTGTCCCGGTTTTCTCAGTGCGCATGTGTAAACGCAGTAACACGAACACTGACATAACCGGGATATGGCTAATAACCGGGTTACTGATGTGCATGTATACACACTCATGTTACATCCCTAGAAGTAACCTGTGAGACAGGCCTGATATGAAGGTTCAGAGACTTTTGTGGTGGCACTTTAAAACCTCAGGAAAAAGCAACGTTTGAACTTTTTGAAGTGCAGTTTCGAGCCTCCACACGGTCTGTTTCAATAAAAACATTAGAAAGGACCACGCCACAACAATGGAATATGATTAAGATGTTTATTGACGGTGGACAGATGCGACGGCTCGGGGAGACTCAGGATGGGGCTCTGTTCTAATCCAGAATGGTCACCCAGCTGATTCAGAACCTCCCTCTTTAAAGATGATGTTTTTGGGGCTGAAGGACGGACGAGACACACGGGTGGGAGGGAGGTGGTCGAGAGATCTGACGCAGAGGTGATGTCGGGGTGGTCGTATAAAGTAGTCAGGTTGGCGCCACCTAGTGCCTCCACTCAATTTCATTTCTCTCCAGCGACTAGGTCAGGAATCAAAATACACTAGATGGTTCACAAAACCCCGGAAGTGCAAGTTCGGGCACCAGCTAATCAGCGAAAAGTCATACATTCTGTGTTGTCAGCGATTCCAAAGATCGAGGATTTAAAGCCAGAACAAAGAGAATGTTTAGTGAATTTTATCAAAAACGTGTGAAAAATCCCTCAGTCGTTCAGGTAGAATCAACGGCAAAAGGAGAAATTCAGTTTGTCGACTGGACAAAAGTTTATTTGGTTGAAGACGTTTCTCAGCTCATCCAAGCTTCTTCTTCAGTTCTGGTCAGACGCTGGTGGACACTTCCTTATGTCTGCCTGCAGGGAGGAGCTAACTACACTGAAACTACTCTGAAACTAACGCATCTTCTTCTTTACGGTTACTGTTTGTTTGTTTGTTTGTTTGTTAGTTAGGCCGATTGATCTGCACTGAGTGTGGGGTCTTAGTAGTAGAATTATTCAGGGCTTCTACACCTCTGGACCTGACCTGGCTACACCTGTTGTTCTCTTGTTTGTTTTGATTTAGGTTTGAGGAGTTGGAGTTGTAAATAGATGGTGTCTGACTCCTGCATTTCTGTTTAAAGTTGGATTACTTTTCTTAACAAAAATAGCTTCTTTCACTCCCTTCTCAAGCCAATTATTTTCTCTGGCTCAGATCTGTTCCTCAAAAGAGTGAACCGTGGCTTTTAGGTGGAGATGTACGGCAGACTCAAGTCCTTTTCGATAGAGATGTACGGCAGACTCAAGTCCTTTTAGGTGGAGATGTACGGCAGACTCAAGTCCTTTTAGGTGGAGATGTACGGCAGACTCAAGTCCTTTTAGACAGAGATGTACGGCAGACTCAAGTCCTTTTAGGTGGAGATGTACGGCAGACTCAAGTCCTTTTAGGTGGAGATGTACGGCAGACTCAAGTCCTTTTAGGTGGAGATGTACGGCAGACTCAAGTCCTTTTAGATGGAGATGTACGGCAGACTCAAGTCCTTTTAGATAGAGATGTACGGCAGACTCAAGTCCTTTTAGACAGAGATGTACAGCAGACTCAAGTCCTTTTAGATAGAGATGTACGGCAGACTCAAGTCCTTTTAGGTAGAGATGTACGGCAGACTCAAGTCCTTTTAGACAGAGATGTACGGCAGACTCAAGTCCTTTTAGGTGACAGAGTGTACGGCAGACTCAAGTCCTTTTAGGTGGAGATCAGCAGAGACTCAAGTCCTTTTAGACCGAGATGTACAGCAGACTCAAGTCCTTTTAGACAGAGATGTACTGCAGACTCAAGTCCTTTTAGGTGGAGATGTACGCAGACTCAAGTCTTTTAGACAGAGTGTTCAGAGTACAGAGATGTACGGCAGACTCAAGTCCTTTTAGGTGGAGATGTACGGCAGACTCAAGTCCTTTTAGGTGGAGATGTACGACAGTCTCAAGTCCTTTTAGATAGAGATGTACGGCAGACTCAAGTCCTTTTAGGTGGAGATGTACGGCAGACTCAAGTCCTTTTAGACAGATGTACAGAGACTCAAGTCCTTTTAGACAGAGATGTACAGCAGACTCAGGTCCTGTGTTGCTCTCTCGTCTGTGTTGGTTCATCCTCTTGTGAAGCGTCTGTTTGTTTCTCTGCAGTTTTCACTACACTGGATGGAGTAGACCACATTGCTTTGTTTGTGGCTCGGTGTTTTGTCCTTTGGGTTGGACCAGTTTCTGTCTTAAAGTGTTTATAGGTTTGAAATAGACCAAGATTTCATGTTGTCTGAAATTCCTCTGTAGTTTTTTCCAGAAACACCAACATTCTAACCAGAACTGAAGAAGCAGCTTGGATGAACTGAGAAACGTCTTCAACCAAATAAACTTTTGACCAGTGAACAAACTGACTTTCTTGTTTGTCCTTCTTTTTACGGGATTTGGAGCATTACATACGCCACGACCAAATAGCAGTGATTGGTTAAATTAAAAAAAGTACCTGCCTACTGTCAACACTTCTAGGTCAAACGGTTTCTATGAAGTGATGAATCAGGCTTCGTATAAATAGGGCCTGTGGGTAATTGAAGTCGTGGTTGAGATAATCTGTGGTTCGCTGAGGAGGAAGTTGAGGCGCGGTCCAGCTCCTGAATCTCATAATAATAATCTCATGATAATAATAATAATAACTCCACTTCTGTACAACAGGGACACGTCATCCTACCGCAGAGACACGTTCTACTAGAGGGACATAAGAGGAGGACACGGGACACCTGCGGGGCTCTGCTGGACCCCGGGGACACGTCCTCAAACCAGCACAGAGCCGCGACAGTACATCAGATAAACTCCACCTTGTCCTGTTTTCTGTCGGACAGGTTCTTGCGACGGCCGCAGCGCAGCTCTGATCATATCTGAGATCCTGCGCTCAGATTTGGAGACAAAACAGGTCAGCGCTGTTTCACTCTCACCTGACACTCACAAGGTCTTTTAAGAATGAGATCCGTCTGTGTCCAAATAATTTCCCTTGAGGATCAATAAAGTTTGTCTAAGTCTAAGGCTACATTTATATGATGAGGGTCTGAACAGAAGACGCAAAAGAGGCGTCACGTCTTCACTTTTTATTCCACGTTTAGATGAGCATTTTCGGGAGGAAATCTGCATTCATACAGTGACGCAAAAGTGTGTGGAATTCAATTGGGTTTGCATGTCAGGCGGCTCGGTGGTGATGTATGTGACGTAAACGCGTAAACAACCTGAGCTTATTTATTTATTTATTTATTTTTATTTGAGACAGGGACAGTGCACAATTTTTACATCAATTTCTTTTACAGGAGAGTTGCATTGTACATCAGGTTGTAGCATCAGTGCTAATTTCCACCGGTCGTCCCTGGGCAGATTCACTGATTGATTGTATTTTAACTGACCTCGACTATCAACTGTTCTTGGAGACCTGTGTAGCATGTTTTGCCATGACATCTGACCAGACATCTGACCAGAGTTTTGCGTCTTGGGCAGTGTAGACGGAAACACTACGGCGGAGAGTATTCAACTTTTCCACTCTGGACAGTGGTTTCAGATTTTTGCATTTTTAAGCCCCAGTCAAGGGGTAAGACTTTATTGCCCTTCTTCCTGTCGAGCGCGAAGAAGAAGAAGTGTCGAGCGAACGAATCATGATGCTGCGAGGTCAGACAGTTTCCACAAAGTGAAGCGGGCTGATGAATAAGGCTAGACACAGTTACGTCATGTTGAATTAATTTAAAATCAAAATCTTACTATTTCTTTAAACAAAAACTTTTTAGTATCTCAAACAGAGATACTAGAAAGGTACTACTAAACTAGGATTTTTTTGCCTAAACTTTCTCACCTCACGTTTCATTCTTTTATCAAAAAACTACATTCTCCAACGTGCCCCTCGTAATGTCGCCTCGTGCGCTCTCCTTTGGCGCCCTCTGCTGCTCGCCTTTGTAAAGGTTGGTTATTGAAGTAGCCTTTTTGCAGAATAAATGTTGAATCGATTGAAAATAATGATTTATTTGTATTAATAGCAATGGAAAATAAGGTTCCGTTTTTGAGAATTTTGTGTAAATGTACGTGGTATTTGCCAAGAAGAATAAATAAATTAATTCGTTTTTGAATTTTGGCATATTATTTTTTATTATATTTTATTATTTATTTTACTATTTATTTTATTTATTTATTTATTTTAATTTATTTTATTTTAATTTTATTTTATTTTATTCAGTTATTGTGACGTGCCTCACGCTCATTACACGCACCGGAAGCGCTCTGACGTCATCGCTTCGGCTTAAAGATGGCGGCGTTGGTCGGTGAGTGATGTTTTGGCTCCGTTTCTTGTGCTTTTCTGTGTTTTTTCGTGATTTTACAGCGGGACTCGTCATGTTTTCTCGAAGCGGACACTTAGACCGCGCCTCGGCCCGTGTGTCTGCGCCAACTGTGCGTCAATTGTGCAGCTTTTGCCCCGCTGTGCGCACTGACCTTGTGTTAGCCGCGCTGCTAAAGCCGGAGCACAGTCTCCTCCTGACCCGCACTGGTTTTATTATTATTATTATTATTTTATTATTTTACTGTTTTATCTGTGCGGAGTGGCGCTTTAATCACTGTTCAGGAGATGCTTTTTTTTGTATAAATAATAGTTGTTTAGTCCTGATCTGTGCACTTATAACAGGCCTGTTTTCACTTGTGTAATGTTGTTTTTGCAGCGCCCCGTTTGGCCAAGTTCGGCTCCTTTTCCACAAGGTAAGTTTTTAGGTTATGTTAGGTTATGTTGCTTTATTTACCCGTAGGTAAATTTGGTTTGCAGATTTGAGAGGCAGGTTCCACATTTCACATTTTATTCATCCACAAAACACGTATAAAAACACAATTACAAAATAAAGCGTTACAGAGCCCCAGGGCAGAATGGTTTGTTTCATAAACAATTAATTAAATTCATCCATCACGCTCGGCTAAAATCACAATAAATATTAAATATGATAAAAACACACAATCTTAGATTAATAGATTACAATTTATTCATAAGTACGATCGCGGCCGGAACGAAGCTCCTTTTAAAACGATTTGTTCTAGATCTTGGGACTAAAAGCCTCTGGGCAGAGGGAAGCAGCTGAAACTCTGAGTTTAGTGGATGTTGCTCGTTTTTTAAAAATACATTCTCTGTAAGTGTCTCGAGTACAGAGAGTCCAGGCGGCTCTGAGGATGAACAATAACTTCACTTGCCCATTTAACCGACTGATTCAGGGAGTTCTTGTTTTTGGCAGAGACGCTCCCAAACCATGAGACCAATGAAAACATTAAAATTGATTCCATAAATGTTTTATAAAACAGTGTCATCGTGGTTCTCTCTACATGGTAAAAGGACAACTTTCTCAGACAGTGAAGGCGCTGGTGCCTCTTTTACACACAACAGAACAATTATCGTTAAAACTCATTTTTGTGTTCCAAGATATTTATAGGAGTCCACACACATATTTTTTATTTACACTTCCAGACTTAAGGGCGTTTTTAGTATTTAGTATTTCTGTCCTTGCCTAAATTTTTTTTTTTAATTTTGCTATTATACTTTTTTTTTTTTCAGTACAACCTGTTATTTCACATCTGTTGCTGTAGTCGTGTCATATGGATGTAATAAAAACTACAGGACCAGAAACCAGAATTCACACTCTTTCATACGAAAACACAAAGCGAATATGACATAAAAAATGCTTAATTTAGGGCCTTCACTACAAAAGTGCAAAATATCAAGTATGTAAATAAACTAAAAATATCATTATTGCCTCAAAACAAACTAAAAAAGTGCAATGGCCCCATGATTTTCCTGGTGTCATGGAAACAGCTGGTGTCAGGTTCAGAGCACAGAGACACATCACTTCCTGCATTTCCATGAGGTTTATTACATTTGGATTTGGACATTTAGACTGAAATAAACCTTTCATATAAAAATAGCAAGGGATGCTCAATTACGCAGACCAAGATGTGCAATTTTCCATTTAATTTGACAAATAACTGCACTTAGAGTGACTTTTTCAGTATACAATAAAATATTGCACAGTTCCCATCGTTTCCTTTTCCCCTCAAACGTCTCATCTGTCTGTGGTGTTTCCTCAGGCCCCTGTGTGCGCTCACAGTCCATCAGAAGAGTCTGCACAGTCATGCCAAGAGTGACAGCACAGCCACGAGGTGAGGACGGAAACATTATTCTGTTGATCTATTCTCCCATTCCCCATCACGTTTGTGTCACATTAACTTGACTTTGTTAGATTTGGTAAAACTGCTCACAGAGGAATGAATGAAAGTGAATAAAGGATCACAGTTTGGTCACGGTTAGAGATGCACCGATTCAGCCTTTTTAGTTCCCATATCGATACTTTGACTTTATGTATTTGCCTGTACCTGATATTAACCAACACCAGTGTAGGTAAAGCTGCTCGATTATGGAAAAAAAATCATTATCACGATTATTTTGGTCAATATTGAAATCACAATTATTCAAACGATTATTTTATAGTTACATGATGCATTTATTCAGCATTTCTCTAACACTTCGTTATTGATAATTTATGCAAAACTTTCAAATTGAAAATAAATACAGGATAGGGCTGTTGCGGTTAGGGAATTTCTCCTGCGGTGCGTCATAGCGGCTCAACAGCTCGGTATGTGGTGATGGCACAAACCCGAGCCCACGGAGCAGGGAGTCTGCAAAGCGCGATCGGGCGACGGCTGTGTTTACCTCCGTTGAGGGCTGAGCTTTGTGCCTTTCGTTTTGCCTGTAGTTATCTTACAGTCTACACGGGTGCACCTCTGGGCCAGTCCCGACAGTGAGTCCTGGTTCAATTCTGGTTTAGTCCTGGTTTAGTCCTCCTAGTTCAGTTCTGGAGTCAGTCCTAGGTTAGTCCTGGTTCAGTCCGTGGCGTGTGCTGCGCAAAAGTCCAACATCTCAATCAGTGTTTCTTCTGCTCAGTAAATAAAACCAGTGAAGTGATGAAAGTCGAGTCGCGTCTGTGAATTTGTGTTCGTGCTGAAGAAAGTGAAACCGTTTCATTTCGTGATTGTGATTCTTGAAGTCATAACTTTTCAATTCGTATTGTGATGGATGCTTCAGTTAAAATGATTTTAATTTGTGTGTGATTTATCTCGGGCGGAATGTTAACAGGTCCAGACGGGTGCGAGTTTAACTTTGATATAATCACGTGTTAACAGGCGGGTGCAGGTCTCCAAAAATGGACCAGTGCAGGACTCTGGGTCGGGTCATGTGCGGTGATCGCGGTGGGCCTCTCAATACCGCGGTGATTAATTTTTGCGGTTATCGCGACAGCCCTAATATCGGCTACAAATATGTACCTTAGAGCAGTTTTGCGATGTATAATCGTCTCAGGAAAAGACCGGGCACTTGTTTCCAGGGTAACTGATGCGCGTTAAGTATTTTTCACCCGTTGGTCCACGGCGTCCAAGATGCATGTCGGGGGCGTCTGAACTCCAATGCAAAGGCGTCCAAATAGAGGCGTCTAGGGCGTTTTTTGATGCCCCGATCTGAACGTACCTCTCAAGAGAAATGCTGAATAAATGCATAGTGAAGTTTGAATAACTGTGATTTCAATTATGACCAAAATAATCAGGATATTGATTTTTCCATTGTCGAGCAGCACTAATTCCTTAATAGTGAAATGGAGTTTGAAATGATAGTACACCATATTTCATACTTCATAATAGGGATGGGCATGATTAATCGATTAATCGATAATTGATCGTTAAGAATTTCATCGATTACATTAATTTTAATCGACAAACAGAATGTATGTTGCTGTGTGTGTCGTGACCAAACAGGTGTGTACATGTGTCTCTGCATCAGAAGGAGCGAGACACAAACAGTGGGTCAGTCTGTAACGAACCGAAGCACAAATGTGGATTTAACGATGATTTGTACAAGAAATTCCACACTTTCCGTTGCGTTGGGACAAGTGTGAGTCCATGTGCACAGTGTATAAAGCAGCACATATGTTTCTGTGTCCAGTGGGAAAAAGTTTTACCAGGTGAGAGTCGCTCAATGTGGATGACGAGGCCCCGCCCCCCTCCCCCCGTACGCTGTCCTGGTTTTGACAAACACAAATCTGGTCACACTGACCTGTATTCACCTGAGTCATGTCTTTTAATCCGACAGAAACTGAACCACATCAGCGACACAAGAGCTGGAGTTTTATCTTCGCTTAGTTTATGCAAATTAGTGATGCAGTTTTAAGTTTTGTTTCTGTGAGATTTGAACAAAACTGAATTAAACACATTATAATGTCAAACAGCTGATGTGGCTCTAGAGTCGTTACGGTTTATATGTCGTAAAGTTGAATTTATTTATGCAGATTAGTGCAGATAGTAATAATAATGATGATCATTTTAATATAAAAACGTCAATAATTAATCGATAATTGATCGTTAATTCTTCCGACGATCGATTAAGAAAATTTCATCGAATGCCCATCCCTACTTCATAATGTTTTAGAGGATTTTGGACATGAATATCATTAAAACAAGAACAACTCTAGTAATAATAATTGACAACAGATTTGTTTGCAGAAAAATCCACAGATTTCATAAGTGAGTCGTGTATAAATGTGAGTTTGTTTGGCAGTGTGGTCCCGGTGCGAGAGAAGAGCACGGCGGTGGCTGCAGCCAAACCCTCGGCGGTCAGCAGCAAAGGAGAGTATGTCATCACCAAACTGGACGACCTGGTGAACTGGGCGCGCAGGGTGAGTGTCGCTCTCTGCTCTTTACCCCCACTGTGTGACGTCAGGTCTGTTTTAGTTTGAACAGGTTCAGCGAAACATTCAGTAAAAAGAAAATTCTAAAACATCCAGACGTCCAGTGAAAAGTTTAAAAGTAGAATGACACTTTGATCAGAGGAGACAGTTCATACATGAAGAGGCTCAAAGCTGCTGGAGATTGAACGCAGTGAAAATAAAGAAGGCGATTGCGTTCAGCTGAATCTTGCTTTTCAGTATAGCGTCTGTGTGACCTTGGTTCACATTGGATCTGCGCTCGTCTTATCTGCGGCATTCTTGAAACAGAAGTGAACATCTTGCGCTTCACGTGTTTTAAGTGACTACAAAGACATTCAGTACATTCCATTGTTTCAAACTATAAAAGTCGCTCCGGAGTATAAGTCACACCAGCCAAAAAACGTGTAATGAAGAAAAAAACATATGTAACTCACATTTTTGGGGGGAAATTTATTTGATAAAATCAGAGACCAGGAACTGACATTTCCTGTGTAAAGTGAAGTTGTAGTAAAAACAATAGAAGAGAGAAGAACAGACTGTTAACGTCACATATGAACAGTTCTTCAGATAAACTATAACATAAACAACAGAACAGAACAAGTTTAACAAACTCTCCATCTCACTCCAAATCACTAAATCCATTCAATTCTTCATCCTCGGTGTCACTTCTGAACAACTCCTCGACCTCCGGATGTAAACAAAGCGCCGCTTCCTCTTCTGTGTCGCTGTCGTCAGACTCAGCATCAGTTCCAGTTAGAATTATTCTGGTCTTTCTGAATCCCGACAGGATGGTTTATGGTGGTTGGTTAATGATGGTTAATCCCTCAAGATGGGGACGTTCGTTCTCTTAACCCTCACGCTCTTTATTTTCTCACCTGGTGAGAATTTATTTGAAAATACATTTTTGGGTCTGATTGACCCGCCCCTAGAGAGTGGGAAGGAGAAAAAAATTGTCTTTGGGTCTATGTGACCCCGAGGAGAGCGTGAGGGTTAATATATAAGATGCACCTAAGTATAAGTTCTAGGAAACACCCGAACCATGAAAAATGTGCGACTTATAGTCTGAAAAATGCGGTACATGAATAATACAAAGTCCAGGTCCAAACCTTTATATTTAGTGTAAACAGTGAACCCTCTCCCTCCTGTGCTTCCTGCAGAGTTCGCTGTGGCCCATGACGTTCGGTCTGGCGTGCTGTGCGGTGGAGATGATGCACATGGCGGCTCCTCGATACGACATGGATCGTTTCGGGGTGGTGTTCAGAGCGAGTCCGAGACAGGCCGACGTCATGATCGTAGCAGGGACGCTCACAAACAAGATGGCCCCCGCGCTACGCAAGGTCAGTATCACTCTGAACCGACGATCTGTGATGAAACTGGAGCATCTGCAGCTTTGAAAACGACACAACATCATCTTTAGTTCATACTTCAGATCTTCTTATTAGAGCCCGACTGATATATCGGTTGGCCGATATTATCGGCTGATATGGGCAACTTTAGGCATATCGGCTATCTATAATAGTGCTACTTTCTTTACTAGTTATGGGTCGGTCGCGAACGAAATGACTCTTAGATCCGGCTCTTTGAAGGGAACGACGGGAGCCTGATCCTTATTGGGACCCGTGTTTTCTCTTTCTCTCACTTTTTTTCTCTTCACGCCGCGTGCAGATTCGTGGTTTGACAGCGGCAGCGGCTAAAAACGAAACTTTGAGAAATTTGCGTGTATATAGGATAAAAAATATAAAAAAAAGAGCATATTTGACTGTAGTTTAGCATAAAATAAATAAGTCCCGGTTTAGTCCTTTTTCAGTCCTGGTTTAGTCCTGCTTCAGTCCTGCTTGCAACAAAACAATCTGAAGAGCCACTTGGGAGCCAAAAGAGCCAGCAGCTTTTAGTGAGCCGAGCCAAAAGAGCCGGTTCTCTAAAAAGAACTGGAATACCCATCACTAGTGTCTAGAATGTGATGCAAAAATGCCATTAAGTCAACCTACTGTCTGTAAATATGATGTAAAGAGGCAGAATAACAATAAATGTTGCCTAAATAAACACAATTTAAAATCCACCAGAGCCAAACCTAAGTTTTTTAAACAATTCAACATTTACAGTGAATTTTTACATCACTAAATATATCGGTGATTATATCGGCTATCGGCAGAGCCAACTCACATTATATCGTTATCATATCAGCCACAGCAAAATCCATATCGGTCGGGCTCTACTTCTTATATTTCAATGTTCTTTACCTGCTCATGTGGAGTCTATGGTTTGAGAATTACAGAAAAGGATTCATTAGAGGAGAAGAGGGAAAAGTCTGGAAACAGTTCAGTCTATCATCACTTTAAAAGGTCTCCACTTTAAGTTTGAGAGTTCTAAATCCATCATTTGCCACGTTTACATGAGAGCTCTAATTCTGATTAAAATAATTGAATTCTCAATAAAAAATTATTTAAAAACACTATATAATTATTATTATTCAGAATTAAACTTAATTCCGAAGTGAGTGGGTGGTTTTATCCCGATTGTAAAGCCGAATTGATTATTATTAGAGTTTATTCTATCCATCCATTTTCTTCTGCTTATCTGCGGCCGTGTCTCGGAGGCATCAGTCTAAGCAGGGAATCTCAGACTTCCTTCACCCCAGACACGTCCTCCAGCTCCTCCAGGGGGACCCCGAGGTGTTCCCAGGCCAGTCCAGAGACATAGTCCCTCCAGCGTGTCCTGGGTCTTCCCCGGGGCCTCCTCCCGGTGGGACATGCCCGGAACACCTCCTGAGGGAGACGCCCAGGAGGAATCCAAAACAGATGCTCGAGCCACCTCATCTGGCTCCTCTCGACGTGGAGAAGCAGCAGCTCTACTCCGAGCTCCTCCCGTGTGACTGAGCTCCTCACCCTCCTCATCTCTAAGGGAGCGCCCAGACACCCAGCGGAGGAAACTCATTTTGACCGCTTGTATCCGCGATCTCGTCCTTTCGTGCACGTTTATTCTTCTTAAAAATAATCCCGGGCGTCCAGTTCATGCTCGTTGTGTCGCCCTTCGATCCGGCTCCACCAGTCCTGTCTTCGGACTTTCATCCAAGTCTCTTTGGATTTGTGAGCGGGATGCGGGAGTGGGCTGAGGTAGAGCAGCCTCACATTCAGTTTGTCTTTTTCCTCCCTTCTCCGACACTCTTCCCTTCTCCTCCTCAGCCGACAGACGTAAAGCGTGATGAGACAATTCTCCAGCTGCTGCGCAATTATCATCAGAACCACTTACGGAAAAAGTTTGGATCGTGTTTGTGTCCGTGGAGTAACGACAAACTGAGTTGACAGAAAAGCCGGGAGCAGCTGAAGTGTGTGTTTTCTTCTGGTCGGTGTGAATACGTTGGTGTCTCTGTCCAATCAGAACCTTCCCCAGACGCTGAGACACATTAAATAAAGACAATTTAACAAGTTTTCCATGTAAACCTCAATTCAGAATTATTATTTCCATGTAAACTTGAAGTATATAATAGTATAGAGTCATGTAAACGTGGACAATATGAAACACTTTTCTGTACAGGTCTATACGTTTTGGAGCATAGTTTTCTACTAAGTTAGACATTAGTGTTGGCTAATAATGATTTATTTAGACTCAGAAAGTGTTAAATCAAATCTGTACAGTGCCAGCTCCCATTTTATGACCCTTAAAATATGTCAGAGAAGTATATTCAAGTGCATGTGTATTGAGACCTGCGTGAGCCTGAGGAGTATGTAGATTCCTGGCTGTGCTCGTTCAGACTGGAGCTCACAGTTGGTCGGTGCCGTGTGCAGACTGAACAGTAGATCTGTGTAAACGCACTGGGATTAACTGCAGCCGGCGCAGGATTGGCACAGCCGCTGTGGGGCCGCGTGCAGCAGCCTCACCTCTGAGTCACACGGCTGTACTCTGATACTCTCAAATAGTGTCAAATACTGTCAAATACTGTCAAATACTGTCAAATAGTGTCAAATTCTGTACAGTTCAACTCAAATTTTACTCCTCTCACAGGTGTATGACCAGATGCCTGAGCCACGCTACGTCATCTCCATGGGCAGGTACGTCTGACCACACACTTCAAACTGTGTGTATGAAAAGTGTATGAAGCATTAAACACCGGTGGCCCGATCTTGCCCCCAGTCTTAGCACTTGGCGCAGGTGTGGGGTTAGGGCAGGGGTGGGCAAACTACGGCCCGGGGGCCGTATGTGGCCCTTTAAACCTTTTAATCCGGCCCGCCGAACTGGAATAAATTACAATAATAAACCTTGTTGATGTTTTATTTGTCATGCATTTCCAGCGTTTCCCAGTAGATGGCGCACTATATATACATTGAGTTGCGGCGTATTATGTTGGCCGCAATGCTTTATGGGAAAGTGTTACAGGAGTTATTCGGATCATGAGTGAAGTAGTTGGTCCTTAAGATATAAGACTGCACTGCTTCCATTTTGAGCTGGAAAAAATCAATCAAGGAAACCTATAGTCTCTCAGTTGTAATAGTTAATGTGTACAACATTTTGGAGTCAGGTTGTACCACATTCACAGGTGTGTATGTGTGGTTGTTTGGCGTGAGCTTTGTTTTGGAGCTGATCCAGTCATATGTGAAAACGGTGAACTCACTATATACATTGACTCGTGATGTGCAGTGGAACAGGTCTCAACAGTTTTATGTTCTGAGTCTTTCACAGCAGTGATGAAACGTGTAGCGTCTGAAGTCCTAGATAAATGTGAATAAGAATGTAATGAATCTGAGCTCTTAACACGTTATGTCCTGTTTTCTGTCCGGCCCTTCAGTCAAACTTTAGACCCTATGTGGCCTGAAAGTTTGCCCACCCCTGGGTTAGGGAGTTTTAAACAGTCGGTGTGTCGTGTCTGAGCATCAGGTGGAGTGGAGCAGACTGAGGGCAGGTGTGGCACATTCAGTGAATTACCAGAATCATAAAAAATAAATATCAAACGAGTTCACTGAAAAACAACATGTAACCTGCTCAAGACTTCTTTTATTTGGAAAAATATTAGGATGATAAATGCTTCACATTTATAACATGTTCGTGTGCTGTGCGGGAGTCGTGCGGATGCCCTCCCGCAGCAGAGCACAGCCCCTCGCTCGCGCTCTGTATCGACTCAGCTCTGCTCTAGAGTTTGGTTTAATCTGGATCTGTACAAAAGCTGCTCATTCACATTGCGATGTCAATTTCCTCACTTTCTCACGGCCAAACCCTGCATGCACATTCACTGACAGCTCGGGGCTGTGACCGTGGAGCAGATGCATCAGACACATTTATCTGTAACGGGAGGAAAACGAACGCAGCGGAAACTATAAAAGGTTGACGTGTGCTCGGTGCACGGGTTTACAGCGGTGCACATACTCATGGAGGGTTCAGAACACAAACCCAGTCAGTTCTGTGACGGCCCATACAAAATTCTATATTCCTTGCGCTTCTGCTGGTGTGTACTTCCATCGTGGGGCTCCAGAGCTGTTTTCTTGTCACAAAGGCTATGTTCAGACTGCAGGGTTTAACGCTCAGTTCTGATTTTTTTGTGAAATCCAATGTTTTTGCGAGGTTGTTCACATTTCCAATTAAATGTGACTTGTATGTGACTCCAGTGTGAACATTAAACGGCCCAAAAGAATCCGTGTATCATTCGTGACTTCCGTGACTGCGATGCCGAACTTTTGCACCAGACCGAGACTAGAGCGGGACTGAGACCAGGACCAGACCGGGACCAGACCGGGACCAGAGCGGGACTGAGACCGGGACCAGACCGGGACCAGAGCGGGACTGAGTCTCAGTAGCGCTCTGGTCCCGGTCTGGTCCCGGACCTGGTCCATCTGAACCAAAAGCTCTTAGTTCGGTTCGTTTTCGTTGGGTGAATTCGTCAGTCGGATGCTTTGCACCACCTCGGAACCAGCCTCGGTTCTTGAGCGCGGAGGACCAGAGCAGCTCGGTCTGGTCTCGGACCTGGATCCGTCCTGATTCAGTCCGTATGTGGTGAGACTGGACCAGACCGGGACCAGACCGGGCCTGAGACCGAGATCGAGACAAGACCAGGACCAGACCGGGACCAGACCGGAGGCTCAGAGCCCACGGCAGGACCGGAGCTCGAAGCTGAGGCTCGGACCCCGTGGAGCTCGGAGTCAAAGCTCGGAGTCCGCCCTGGTCCCGCTCTGGTCCGGTCTGGTCCCGGTCTCAGTCCCGCTCTGGTCTCACTCTGGTCTCGGACCTGGATCAGTCCCGGTTCAGTCCGTATGCGGTGCAAAAGTTCGGCATCGCAGTCACGGAAGTCACGTAAACGGGCCGTTATCCGTTTTTTCCATTCTTCATTTAAACAAAATTTTTTCGTTTTCTTATTTTTGGTTTATATTGAAAAACGAATGAACGAATGATACACGGATTCAAAAGTGTCCCGCATGTGCACGACGACGTCAACCGCAGCGAGCGTCTCTGTGTTTACAGAAGTTGTCCAAACATGGACGCAGCATTGAGCACCTGGAGATTTTAAAGTTCCTCTCGTACCGGAGCCAGAACATGAACAACTTACTTGTTTTAAGGAGGAGATTGAGAAGGAGAAGGACGAGGTTTTTGGTCGTGGTGTTTTGTGGTTCAGTCCGTTGAAAGGAACGTGTGGATGTGGAGACGGAGCCGTGAGTGGAGATGTGCTTCACTTCAGTGACACAGAGTTCATTAACAATTTTCACCTACTTCAGCGCAGAATAGTGACGTTTGTGGCTTGTTGATAACGTGTAGGTCGGATTCATGCGCTTTGACCGTTCACACTGAAGTCACATGTCAAAAGATCAGATATGTATCAGTTTCAGGACCACATTTCGAAGTGTCCTGTGTCGCATTTGAAAAAATCAGATCTGTGTCGTTCAGACTGTCATTAAAAGATCAGATACAGGTCACATAGGGGCCAAAAAATCGGATTTGGTCACTTCAGGCTGCAGTCTGAACGCAGCCTTATAGAACTTTTCCCCGCACTCTGCTTTGCCGCCTGATAACGAGGCAGAGATTACAGACTTTACCCACACGGGAAGAGCTTTTAAATGCCACAGCGCTCACAGACTGATTCAGATGCCGTCACTATATTTGTACTTGTACCGTTCCACTGCAGCCTCCCGCAGCGAAGTGCAGCCCCACCTGGACACGCCCCCTCCTCAACGCTTGTGCATAGTGCTAAGACTGGGGCAAGATTGAGCCCCAGGAGTCACGCAATAAAGTCTTCAAACACATAATGCTCAGAGAGAGTGTTGACTCCCAGTAAGAGTTAGGTGCAGGTCTGTGCGGGTTTATCGCATATTTTAACTTTATCCTTTAATGTTTACATACAAAATAATCCCTCGGCCTGGACTCCCATCCACCATCTTCCGTGTGAGTGTGATTTATACATACAGAGTGTGTATAACAGGTTTCCATGATTTTATAATATTGACTTTTAATTTTTACAGGTACAGGTTTTTAATATTTGTACAGGTATTAGCCCACAAAATTTAGTTTTAGACCAATCAAGAAGCAATTTGTCATGTTTTATGACGTCACACTGGGAGAATCATGTCCGAAAGTTTGGCCCAATTTCCACGAGAAACACATTTTCCTGATACTTTCAACATGATTTCAACAAGATACAGGAGTTTTCTTACCGTATTTTATTTGTCAAATAATAATCCGTGTGCACATTAGAGCAGTTTTGTCCTAATATACATCATAGTTGCTAGGTAACAGTCCAGACGGGCTAAAAAATGTAAAATGTTTAGTACAGTCTTATACATAATGATTTTAAGTGTGTGTTATTAAAGTGTGTAGTCCGGCCTGTTATGGGCACATTTCGTTCTCTCGCATGCTTGAATGACAAATAAAGAACCTTACCTTACCTATATTGTTTAAAATTATGAGCTGCAATAAATAAATTGACAAAATGAACACTTATGTAGCTGTTGTGTGTTTATAATGAGTCATAGAAGTGATTTATTAAACTCTCTGCAGCTTCTTAATCTTATTTAAAAAAGGCAAAGGAAAAGTCCCCATGATAAAAACTGACCCTAAAAGAAAGTTTTTATTGGGCCTGTAAAGAAAATGATCAAAAAGGTATTTATTTTTTATTACCAGAACATGTCATTTGTGTTTAAATGTACAAACTATTCACATTTGGACAATTCTTAAGACGGAACAATCTGAAAAACTGTCAATTTTTGTCAATATTACATCCAAATCTGAAGTAATTTGTGTTTGTTTTTATGTTCGCAGCTGCGCCAATGGAGGAGGTTATTACCACTACTCGTATTCTGTGGTCAGGGGCTGTGACAGGATCGTACCTGTCGACATTTATGTTCCAGGTAAAGTGGACGGGGTCATGCTTTTGGAGGCTGCTTATCTAATCTTAGCGGGGCCAGTTCTGGTTCAGTGTGAAAGCTCGAGACTCTTTAAAACGTCCGTAACACTAAAGGTGTAATTCCCCCTCCGTCCTCAGGGTGTCCCCCCACAGCCGAGGCGCTTCTCTACGGGACGCTACAGCTGCAGAAGAAAATCAAGCGAGAGAAGAAGATGCGGATCTGGTATCGGAAGTGATCGTGTTTGTAAATGTGTGTATGTACATGATGTGTAAATGTGTTCTGATTTATTTTGGGCTTTCATGGCTCCTCTTCATGTTCAGAGCGACAACAACAAACTTCAATAAAGCCTCGACTGTCATTTACTCACTGTCCTGTGGTTTAAGTTGTAGAGACATTTACCGTATTTCTGGGACTATAAGTCGTTGTGGAGTCTAAGTCGCACCAGCCAAAAAATGCATAATGAAGAATAAAAAAAACAAACATAAGTCGCACTTTTTGGGTGAAATTTATTTAGTAGTAAAACAATAAAAAAACACAGTTTGACAGGACGTGACCCTCAAGCCATCATCCTGAAGGCTGTTTGTGACCGTTTGGACAGAGACGTTCACACCAGTGTCCTGCTGAACGTCGTTTTGGAAGAGCTGGACAGAGTTCAGTTCCTTTTGCACAGAGGAGCAGATGTGGGTCCTTCTGATGGGTTGAGGACCTTCTACAGCCCTGTCTTATCCTGATTCATCAGCTGGTTTCACTTTGTTCAGACCGTTTGACCTCGAAGTGTTAGAATTCATTTGCTCGACGGTAGGCGGGTACTTTTTGATTGTGATGTAATAATGTGCCGCTAACGGGGCTAACTGATATATTAAAGGTTGTATGGAGGATTTTTTTTGTTTCAAATTGTCAGTGATAGATTATAAAGGTGCAGTAGCCTTGTAATTATGATGACCAAAAAAAAGAGAATAAAAATTCATCAACTCTGGACGTGGTGGGGCTAAACATTTGCCAATAGATAACGAACTGCCTCGTTATCTGTGAGCTGACAGGCTGTCAATCAAACTCCCTACGTTTCTAGCGTAACTGACTTGCCTGCGCCGCCAGTACGTGGTTTACGTACGGCTGTCACACAGTCCACAGACGCAAGACGCACAGACGCTGTTTACTCCACCAACACAACGGTTCTTAGCGGCTTTTTTTGACCTATATCTTCCTCGCAGTTCGCACAAAGTTTGTTGCAATGGCGACAAGAATCCAGGAGCAGTTCGCGCGCAAAAGAAAGTCCGTTTTTTGAGGTCGCTGAAAGAAGAAGACAAGGGGAAAAGCAGCGAAGCCAAACTAAGGTGATTCTTGGAGATTCATTCCAGCGATGGTGCGACTGAAGCAGACGAAGGGTCTAAAGACTGACGCACTGGTCCACAAATTACTCCTGGACAGGAAACGTCTGCTTATTATGAAAACATACTTTATTTCCAAGAGTTAGACAAACGTTTTTCAGGACACGAATGTGATATCCTATGTCTGAAAACGTCATTTTCAATGCAAAGAAAGAGTCCGCTTGCTGCTGCGTGTTGTAGTAGTAGCTTCATTCGCACGGAATCTCCGCGCACCCCTCACTGCACCGCTCCTCTCTCCTCTCCTCACTCCCCGTTCCGCTCTTCTTCCTGCTCCTCACTTCTTTTCGGCGCATGAAATGTCCACGCCCCCCCGCTCCCCCCGCTCCTCACTTCTCCGTCTTGCCTAACCAACACTGTAGTTAGTTGTTTACAAGTCATGTGCACCGGTGAGCACTTGTTTTCTAGAAACAAACCTGTGGCGTAAGGAGGAGGAGGGAGGAGGCGTTTCTACGTAGGGAGCTGTGGGGGAGGGGAGGTGGTTTCACAACATTTTTCAACATTTGAAAAAGGACAAACAGTCGCTGATTTCTCGTTCCTTGGAAAATCCTCTATACAACCTTTAAGCTTTTCCCAAATCCTGCAAGAAGGGCAATAACGTCTTTCTCCTTGATCAGATTCACCAAAAATTCTCTTTGTTTCGGCTTTAAATCCTTGATCTCGGGAATCTTTACCAACACAGAATGTCTGACTCTTCTCTGATTGGCTGGTGCCCGAACTCGCACTTGTGGGGTTTTTCTATTCAGATTCCTAACCTAGTTGCTGAAGAGAAATGAAATTGAGTGGAGGCACTAGGTGGCGCCAGACTGACTATCCATCTCTCCTAGAGCAACTGTCCGTCTCCTGGAATCTCCTCCATGTTCAGGAGATTGTGCTGGAGACGCATTCAATCTGCCACTGATCTGCCATCTCTGAATGTGTCATCCTGAAGAAGTTGGACAATCTGCTCTGTAGGGTTAAGGAATGGCCTCATACTCCCAGTCGTGATAATCAAAGCAGCACGAGTGGAAAATCTTCTAAAAAACACCAAAAGGGAGAAATATGAAATAATGAGTCCTGTTTTAGAGGGCGTCTTGTTGTACCTGCTGTTTCCATTAAAAGAGGAGCGTCGTTTTGTTCCTGAGACATCGCCCTGTCCATATTTGTATAGATTTTTTTTCACTTTGAGATCTGATGTGTTTTCAAATGGTCCTTTTAAATTTTCTGAGCAGTGTGTAATATCAAAAGTACTGTACTCTATACAGACCTGTCACCATAACACAGTTTGAAGTGTGATATATTGCTGAAGTAAATAGACAATAAATTATTATATTTAATCCCACAAAAGACTTCTAAAAATATCATATTGTTCAAAATTATGAGCTGCAATAAATAAATAGACAAAACGAACAGCTTCTCAATCTTATTTTAAAAAAGGCAACGGAAAAGTCCCTGTGATAAAAATGGACCCTAAAAGAAAATTTACTGAGCCTATAAAGAAAATTATCAAAAAGGAATTATTTTTTTATTACCAGAACATGTTAATTTGTGTTTAATTTGGACAATTCTTAATACGTAACCATCTGATAAACTGTCATCTAATTACCTCCGCCAAGGAGGTTATGTTTTTGCCGGCGTTTGTTTGTTTGTTTGTTTGTTTGTCTGTTAGCAACATAACTCAAAAAGTTATGGACCGATTTTGATGAAATTTTCAGGATTTGTTGGAAATGTGAAAAGGAAGAAGTGATTTCATTTTGGGGCTGATCCGGAAGAAATCCTGGATTCTGGATCACTTTGAAATTTTAGTTAACATTGTGGTAAATGGGGCCAAAAATGTTGTTTCTCAATATCTGGGTTAATTATTGACCAAACAACATGAAATTTGACTCAGGGATGGACAATGGGATCGATCCTCTTTCATATTCCAAATTGAAAGATACGAGACAAATATTTATGGAAAACACAGTTAATATGAGGGGGACTGTAGTCCTTGGCGGAGGTCTGCGCTCTCTGACTGCTTTTCTAGTTGGTGTTATTGATTGAAAATAGAATCATTCATTTACATTTTTGTCAATATTTTCCTCTCGTACGTCTGATTTGTCGTTTTACACTTGAATATGTAAAAAAGTTTCTGTTCTGGGGTCAGTTCTGTCGTCTCCGGGGCCGTATGACTGTGCACTCTGACCCGTCGCACTGAAGCGCAGATAAACAACACTGTACGAAGCAATAATTTAACTCTGAGGTTATCGCAAAACAAACACGAGTCACGGACGGACTTCAGTTAATGTGCACTCAAAAAAAAAAAAACTCTACTGTAGAACTGAAGCTGTGACGTTCATTTTACTGTACACGAGTTTAAGACGCGTACGGATGTCCAAAAGGTGGTCAAAATATCAAAAATCAGAACTAAAACTAATATTTAAATGTTTTATAAGACACAAATCTGACTCTTGAGCTTTAAGCCAAGTTAGAACGATGTCATGTCCTCAAAAAATGACCTGAAGTTCTGTTTTGTTTCATTCACAAGTGTCTGAGAAACTCTTCAGTTCAGAGGTCGGACCAAGTCCTCGTTTTCTGAGTCTCAAGTTTTTCACCTCAAGTCCAAGTCAAGTCCCACGTCAAATACAGGCAAGTCCAAGTCCAGTCTCAAGTCACTGGCCCATAAGTCCAAGTCAAGTCACTGGCCCATAAGTCCAAGTCAAGTCCAAGTCCAGTCTCAAGTCACTGGCCCATAAGTCCAAGTCCGAGTCTCGAGTCACTGGCCCATAAGTCCAAGTCAAGTCCAAGTCGAGTCACTGGCCTATAAGTCCAAGTCCAGTCTCAAGTCTCTATTCTTTGGCCCGTTAGTCCCCGTCAAGTCCCAGTTGACTCTCTGGCCTATAAGTCCAAGTCAAGTCCAAGTCGAGTCTTGAGTCGGCAAGTTATTATTTTTACATATTTTAAGTTGTGTGTAGAAGTTGTATGTAGCAATTGTGTGTAGATGTTGTGTAGTAGTTGTGTAGTAGTTGTGTAGTAGTTGTGTAGTTGTTGTGTAGTTGTTGTGTAGTAGTTGTTAGTGTAGTAGTAGTTTGTGTAGTAGTTGTGTAGTAGTGTGTAGTAGTTGTGTAGTTGTTGTGTAGTAGTTGTGTAGTAGTTGTGTAGTAGTTGTGTGTAGTAGTTGTGTAGTAGTGTTGTGTAGTAGTTGTGTGTAGTAGTTGTGTAGTAGTTGTGTGTAGTAGTTGTGTAGTGTTGTGTAGTAGTTGTGTAGTAGTTGTGTAGTAGTAGTTGTGTAGTAGTTGTGTTAGTGTTGTGTAGTAGTTGTGTAGTAGTTGTGTAGTAGTTGTGTAGTAGTTGTAGTAGTTGTGTAGTAGTAGTTTGTGTAGTAGTAGTGTGTAGTAGTTGTGTAGTAGTTTGTGTAGTAGTTGTGTAGTAGTAGTTGTGTAGTAGTTGTGTAGTAGTTGTGTGTAGTAGTTGTGTAGTAGTTGTGTGTAGTAGTTGTGTGTAGTAGTTGTTGTAGTGTAGTTTGTGTGTAGTTGTGTAGTAGTTTGTGTAGTAGTTTGTGTAGTAGTTGTGTGTAGTAGTAGTAGTGTGTAGTAGTTGTGTAGTAGTAGTTGTTAGTGTGTAGTAGTTGTGTAGTAGTTGTGAGTTGTGTAGTAGTTGTGTAGTAGTAGTAGTTGTGTAGTAGTTGTGTAGTAGTTGTGTAGTAGTAGTAGTTGTGTAGTAGTTGTGTAGTAGTTGTGTAGTAGTTGTGTAGTAGTTGTGTGTAGTAGTTGTGTAGTAGTAGTTGTGTAGTAGTTGTGTAGTAGTTGTGTGTAGTAGTTGTGTAGTAGTAGTAGTTGTGTGTAGTAGTTGTGTAGTAGTTGTGTGTAGTAGTAGTTGTGTAGTAGTTGTGTAGTAGTTGTGTAGTAGTTGTGTAGTAGTTGTGTAGTAGTTGTGTAGTAGTTGTGTAGTAGTTGTGTGTAGTAGTTGTGTAGTTGTGTGTAGTAGTTGTGTAGTAGTTGTGTGTAGTAGTTGTGTAG